GTGCTCTTGCAGAAGGAACTCAAGTCTTTCCAGTTCTCCTGGTCTTTTCCAGCGACTCATCCACTCATCCGCTGCTGCGCGTGGGGAGGGGGAGGTGCCTGGGCCTGTTACCTAGAGTCCCCCCATGGGTGGAGGAGGCAGGGAGAGGGCCAGGCTCAAGCAGGCTGGACTGGCTGAGCTGAGGAAGGGAGGACAGGCTGGGTTTCTTACATGATTGTGGAAAAGTGGGACTGTAGGGAGGAGGTCAGTGTATGTTGGGGGTGGATGCTGGGAGTTTACCAGGACTCTGATACAGCTTTGGAACATTCTGACCTACTCTTCATCTCCCAAGCAGCTTCCCTATACTTTCCTCCCTTGTCCCAACTAGAGGTGCAGACCAAGCAGCCACCACCCTAACAGACACAGGTGCACCCGGCACCCTTGGTCTCCCTTCCAGGTCTTTGGCTTTTCCTTATAGGTAGTCTTCATGTGCCCACACGTTGTCACATCTGCACACCTCTAGGAAAACCAGTGCTCTAGAGAGAACACATGCATACTGCTTGGTGACTTGGGCTGTTTTTTAATCTTGGTAGGCCCGTCTCTCTGTGTCTATAAAGTGACAGTAACAACTCTTGAGGGTAGGAGGACTCAGTGAGATGGCAGGTATAACATGGGTGACAGATGAGGGTATGGTTATCATGGATACTGGACCTTCCCTTCCCTTCCCTTCTTCTTCTCTTCAGTGTCCACATGGAGTGACACCAGGGAGCTTGAGAGATATCTTCTTGAGGCCAGTGTCCATGGAGGACTGGATGCCATGCCCTGGGCCTCAGCACACCTGCTGTCTTTGTTCTCACCGACGGTGTGCCCACCCTTCTGTGCTTCATGGGCTGTGAGGCTTGTTTCTCCCAAGAGCTATGAACTTCTGGAGGGGTGCTCCTATTCCTCTTTGGGCCCCCAAAGCTTCCGTACCACACCTGACAAAGTGTCTAGTGGCCACAAAACCATCACAAGGAAACAGAAGAGACCTCTTATTTTAGAAACAGAGAAGTTCCAGAGAAAATAGCCAAACTTTGGAGCGTGGCAGACCTAGCTTAGACTGTGGCTCATCACTCACGAGTGTGACATAAAACTAGGTGGTTCATCTCCCTGAGCCTCAGTCCTTTGTCCAAAAATAGACACAATAATAGCTACCTCTGCAGGTTGTTGTAAGGATTAGAGATGATGTCAGAGACAAACCCCAATATGCCACGGCCCAGCACATAGTAGGAGCTCAATAAACGGAAGCGGTGATTCCTGCGTCGCTAGATTTGTGGTCACAGGATTGTTTGTGTGTGTGCTTGAAGCAATCTTGCTCCAAGAACTTTTGAGTTCATAGCAAGTGACAGCTTTTGGAACTGCAGGAATTTTTCTTGTTTTGGTCTTCACATGAATGATGGGGGTCTCACCATGGTTTATTCTGGAATGACAACATCAGCATCTTGACATAGTAGCCTGGATACTCAATGGTACTAACCTGCTGTCTGCTGTGGGCAACTACTCTCTGGATTTCTTCTCTGCTGATGATACAGGTTGGGGTAGATATGGGAAGGAACCATGGCCTCTGTCAGCAATTGGGAATGAAATTGATGTTTGAGTTGCAGCAGATGATACAGGGATCCAGCTGCTGCCACTCACAGCTCTGGTGACCTTTGAAGATTCCTGCTGATGTTCTGAGATAGAGTCTCATGGTGTTTTAAAAGTTTGATTACGTAGGAATACATGCAACCACTTTATAGAAGTCCCATTTCCAGGGCTTTATGTCCCATGGTGTCAGGCCCCAGGTCCACTACAGTAAAAAAATTAATGGTAAATGATATATCTTGAGATCAAGAGGGCAGAGAGGGAAAGACAGCAAAGCCACATCCACACAGCTTATAGATCAGCAGAGACAACTGGCTAACAAACACTATGACCCCAAAGAAAACTTTGTTGCTTTTAAAATCCATTCATTTATTTGTGTATACATGGAGGTCAGAGGATACCTCGCAAGAACCAGTTCCCTCTTTCCACTGTATTTGTCCCAGGATTTGAACTCAGGTGGTCAGGTTGGGTGGCAAGATCCTCTGCACACTGAACCACCTCACAGGCTCAGATCTAGTCTGTAACATGTTTGCCTTCTCCAGCCTGGAGATCCATTCTCCATTAATCTTCTGGCACTGGTTATGCTGGGGCCCCTTATGACTCCAGCCTGGTGTCTGCAGGGGGAGCTGCAGGCAGTGGGCAGGGCACACAGGCTGGAGTGGAGCACACTGATGCTTCATTAGAACCAACATGTAGGAGAGCAGGTGTCCAAACAGGATTCAGTAACCTAGGGAGGAGCTAGAGGGGTGGGAAGGAAGCATGTTGGTTTTGGACAAGAGAACAGGACAACTTAGGTCAGGTGACTGCCATCACCTGGGAGAGTAGACCCAAAGGACAGGTCATAGAAGCCCCTTCCCACAGTAAGCCAGGCCTTCACCACTCCAAACACAGCCAGGCACAGCCTTGGAACTGATCCCATACTCTCCAGTGTTTTCTTTTCATTTTGTCCATTCAGCAGCCTTTCCTTCCAGCTCTGCCTTTTTAGGGATGACCACAGTACTTTTACCCAGTCTCGTAGAACTGTGGGTGAAGGTCCTTGGAGATTATTTTTTCCCTGCCTGTAATCCCTGAAGTGGGGCCTTGAAGTCATTCCTGACAACGGCTCAGCCAGAAGCCCTGTAAGGGCTCCACTCCTCTCCTGTGGCCAGGCCATACCAGGGCTGGAAGACTCTTGAGTTCCTTAATGGTGTTGCACCCATCTAACCCTGGGGTCTCACTGGCCCAGGTTCTAGGGTAGGAACCAGCTGAAGAAAATTTTCCTTTTTGGACTGGATAAAGGTTTTGTCACAAAGTCTGAATACCTGAGTTTGATCCCCATGACTTATAGCATGTTAGAAAGGAAGAGCTGATCCCTGAAAGTTGTCTCTGGGCTTCTATGCACCTCCTGTGCACATACATACACATGCATACAAAATAAGTAGATGAGATACAGTGAAAAGATGGGCATGGTGATACAGGCCTTTAGTGCCAGGACTTGGGCGGCAGAGGCTTGCAGATCTCTGTGAGTCTGAAGCTAGTCTGACCTACACAGAGGTCCAGGCCAGCCAAGGATACATTGACTCTGTCTCAAAACAAAAAACAACAACAACAATAATAAATACAATTATATATATGTATATATGTGTATATATATTGGGGGGGGTTGAGACAGGGTCTCTCTGTGGCTTCGGAGGGTGTCCTGGAACTAGCTCTTGTAGACCAGGCTGGTCTTGAACTCACAGAGATCTGCCTGCCTCTGTCTCCCGAGTGCTGGGATTAAAGGTGTACGCCATCACCGCCCAATTAATAATACATTTTTAAAGAAGCTTTCTTTCCTCCTAGTGACTTGACTTCTCCCCTAGTCTGCCTCTCCTCAAGGGCTTTTCAGCCAGCCTCAGGCAACCTCATTTTCATTGTAATTTGTCTGGGCACTTCTTCCAGAGGGTTCTTGAAGCAAGGGCCTTTTGAACTTAGGATCCACATATTTTATAGATGAGGTCTCACAGACAGTGGGAGAGGGCTGGATCTGCCCTGGCCCCTAATTCAGGCCCTGCTCTTTCCCTGCTCCCCACTGGCCTTGGTGACCAGCTGGAAGGAAAAGGAGGCATTTCATAGTAGTGTAGCAATGCTACTATGTTTTGCTTGTTTGTTTTCTGAGTCAGGTACAGCCTTCCAACTGCTCCACATTTCCAGTCTTTTCTTCCCATTCTGCCTGTCTACGAGCATTGCCATCCAGCTCTGCAAATTTAGGAGCAGCCATTAGACCTGGAAGTCATGGCCCCCTTTCATGGCAAAGGACTGAATTTCGGGTCCTGCTGTCTCACTAATGCTGACCAGGCTGGCCTCCACTTCCAAATCCTCCTGCCTCAGCCTCCAAGTTCTGGGATTATAGGTGTATGTCACTATGTCCAGCTGAGACCTCATTTCTAAGATTGCATAGTTTATTTTGTTTGTTTTTAGGGGGAGCTCACATCTCCCTACTAACATTTTGAACTTGCCCTTAGGTGCACCATTGTGTAGTTCTCTGCCAGCAGGGACTTCTTGGCACAGGCCAGGTCAGTCTAGGTGATTTTTTTTCTTTTTGATTTTTCTAGACAGGATTTCTCTGTGTGGCTTTGGAGTATGTCCTGGAATTCACTCTGTAGACAAGGCTGGCCTCGCACTCACAGAGATCCTCCTGCTTCTGCCTTCCCAGTGCTGGCATCAAAGGCGTGTGCCCAGGCTAAGTGATGTTAATCTGACCCTACTCCTAATTGTGAGACTCCCACAATTCCTGGGCTTGGGGACAATGACAGAATCTATCTGAGGCTCCCTAGAGAGTCAGGTAAGGACATCTCTGAAAAGTGCTTCCTGTGCCTGGAACCAACAAGTGCTGAGTGGTCATCCCTAGGATCTGACTGGAAATGATACTTTATGTCCCATCTGTGGGGGTGTGGTCCTTTTCCCTTAGGTCCAACCCTGAGCAGTTTCTGGGAAGGGTTAGGATAAGTGCCCCAAGGGTTTATCCAGGGACTCTCAGTGGGACACCTGAGCATTAGGCAGATGAAGGAATCCCAAGAGAGACCCCGTGCTGCCATCCCCTATATCAGAGAAGGCTGTACTGGTGTCAGAGACACCGACCACCTGACTGGCTCTATCCAGTTGGGTCCAAGTTCCTTTTTATGGTTATTTTGAGATTGGGCCTCCCATCACCATCCAACTTGTTCAGCTTCTGATGCACCTATGTTGTTTGAACTCCTGAGATTACTGGTGTTACAACTCCCAGCTCAGGGCAGGGCAGGGCAAGGCAGGCTCTCACTATGTAGCCCTGGCTGGCTCAGAGATCAGTTTAGCCTCAAACTAAGGGTTTGTCACCATGACCAGCTTAGGTCAGGGTCTTGTCTTGATGGAAACCCAGGAACCTGAGAAGGGAAAAAGGCTTGGCAAGAAGCAGCAATTGTTTTAATGAATTTCTCTTCATGAAGGAAAAAGAGGTCCAAGAGGAAAACACAAACCCCCAGAAATACAGAAAATATTAGTTCTCTGACTTACTAGTTGAATAAAGGTTATAAAACAAGACAAATGATACAAAGCTTATGGTGGCCTCAGATTGGCAAGGAGCATAAGGACACAGAGGAGCAAACAGTGCTTCCTGACATGGTGGCTCTTACATTCGAGAATTTAAGAAGATAAGCAACCCAGACACCAAAGTAAAATGAAGCAAGTCTCCATCAGTCTACATTCAGTCCAGAGATAGTTTAAGAAGCTTCTGTCCTCTTGAGTGGGCCCCACCTGGGGCCAGGTCCTGGGTTTGTGCACATACTGAACGGAGGAGGCAGGGGAGGATGTGCTGTTTGGCATGCAGGGGCTTCCCAGCCTGTCACAGTCTTGGCCTGTCTGTGGGTCTGTCTCTCAGTCTCTGCAGGTTGCCTGTAATTCCTTGGACCCATGAGGCACGTGCCTTTTTGACATACAACCCTTTTCTGGTCTCAGCAGGCTATCCAAACACACCAGTGGACAAAGACCCACTCCCTCGGAGGAGCCACTCAGCTCAAGGCATTTGGAAACCAGAAGACAACAGAGATCTTTATTAACCATCAAACAGACTCCCTCTCTAAGTTTCCGATATGTGGATTATTATTGTCTGAAATTTTGTTACTGCTCAAGAATTTTTTGTCTTAGCCAGGAAAAAACAGGCTCCGGGCCTGTTCTTCCCCTTGTCTTAGTACTTGGACTTGGTGAAAGAGTTTATCAGTGGAACCCACCACCAGACGTAGCCACACTCAGACAGTCAGCTGTCAGGCTTACCAGGAAAACTGGGGCTTGGAGAAGGGTGTGGAAGGAGGCAATGCCAGGGGATGCAGGGAAGAGAGTGGTGAGGCACTGTCCAGGGGCAGGGTGGGAGGAAAGATTGTCTTGAATGGAACATCTCAGAGAACAGGGTGGGTCTGCATTACCACCCCCAGAACCAAGGCACAGAGGAGGTTTGAAATGTCCAGGATAAATAGAACCAATGGGGTTGGAGAAAAAACCAGCTCCATCCCTTTTAAAAACAGTCTTACTGTGGGCACCAAAAATATATTAATATCTGTACATTTGTCATCTTTAAAAAAAAAGGAAATAAAACCTCCTTGGCACCTTGTGGTTAGTTTCTTAAGAATGAGTTGATATGGAGAGGCCATGAGTGCACATGCACGTGAGAATAAACCACACATAAAGCAGTGTGACGCACACACAAGCACGCACATGGCTGTACACATGGGGCCTCTGATGAAGGGGCAAAGCCCTTGAACCCTGAGAATTAGCCCTGCAGGTGTGTGGGCCGCTGCCAGCCCCACCGCCACAGTAGTCTGCGGGGATGCTCTTTGCTGGTGTCTTGACTCTGCAGTTCATGGAGATCCATTGCCCATCCTGACTCAGGCTCCCTCTCAACACATCGCCTGAGCTCTGCTGCCAGGAAAAAGGGCCTGTCTGTGTAAGCAGCTGTTCTTAATCACTTGGCCTCACCCCTACTCTGACACAGGCACCCTTCGTCCCAAACTCAGAATGGACTCTGATTGTAAGACAGACTTCCAAAAAGTGAGTGAAGTCAGTGCCTGAGTGTGCGGGTGTGCCTGCCATGAGGCCTTAGGACTCTGGTCCTGGTCACAGATGTTCTGGCAAAAGGCTGCAGGAAGGTGAGCCGGCTGGGCAGCAGGAAGTGATCCTGGTCCTTCTGGGGCCTAGGCTGCTCAGAGGTGGGGGCTGCTCTGCAGCAAGGAAGTGACAGTGTTCTGCAGGGCCACAGCCACCTTCTTGGAGGTCTTGCGTAGCAGTGGGCTGTCGGGGTGGTTTTCCTTGAGGTGCAAGACATGACCCTCCTGACTCTCAGATGTGCAGCCACACTCTTCACACACATATAGCTTGGCCCGGCGCTCCTTGTATGCATACTTCTGCTGCACGCCATGGATCTTCTTGAGGTGGGACTCCAGAGAGCAGCGCTGGGTGAAGGCCTTGTCACACAGGCTGCACTTGTAGGGCCGCACACCTGTGAACAACAGGGGTCAGCATGGGAACCATGATGGGCTGTGGAGCCTGTCTGAAGCATCCACACACAGAAAATCAGGACACCTGAGTACCGGGTAACCAACAAGTGACCTCAGGACTCTGCTTCAGTACGTGCCTCCCAGGCCCCGGGCCGGTCTAAGGCATTCCCTCCGGAGGCCGACTTTACTTACCAGTGTGGGTTCTGACATGTCTCTTGAGGTCAAAGGTGTCATTGAAGCCCTTCCCACAGTAAGTGCAGAGGTGCCTCTTGACGTCATTGTGACACTTCATGTGTCGATTCAGCATGCGCTGGTAAGTGAAGGCCTTCTGGCAGATGTGACAGGTAAAAAGGTCTCCATTTGGACTGTCTCCCAAAGTCACCTGTGGGTGAGGACGGTATTTGTGGCAGATATCTAGAGACCAGGACTACAGGCTGGCAGATATGTCATCCCCGCAACACTCTCAAGAAAAACTGACCCACCCTCCAAAGGCCACAGCCTGTGACATTTACTAAGAGGAGCTGCAATGACCCTCTGGGTATTGGCCCAGCTTCCTGTTGGGCCCTCAAAACCATTTTTGAGGCTGCCACCCTGAATTTTTCATCCCAAGTGCTGAAGCTACAGCAGTGTGTCATTGTGGCTGATGTACGTGGGGCTGAGGGTTAAACCCAGGGTTCTGTGTATACAAGCAAGCACTCTACCCACTGAGCTAGACCTCCAGTCTTAGAAATATTTTTCTTTCTTTTTATAAGATATTTATGTTTATGGGTGTTTTGCCTGCATGTAATATGCCATGTCTGTGCGCCACAAGCTTGCCCAGTGCCCATGGAGGCCAAATGTCTTATTCCCTGGAGATGGAGTTACAGAAAGCTGTGAGTGGCCATATGGGTGCTGGGAATTGAACCCAGGTCCTCTGAAAGACTGAAAGACTAATGAGCCATCTCTCCAGCTCCATTTTTTTTTTTTTTTTGGCTTTTCAAGACAGGTTTTCTCTGCCTTTTTTCTTTTCTTTTCTTTTTTTTTTTTTTTTTTTTTTTTTTTTTTGAGACAGGGTTTCTCTGTATTGTTTTTGAGCCTGTCCTGGAACTCACTCTGTAGACCAGGCTGGCCTCGAACTCACAGGGATCCGCCTGCCTCTACCTCCCGAGTGCTGGGATTAAAGGCGTGTGTCACCCCCCCCAGCTGCATTTTCTTTTTTTAATTATGGAAAATTTCAAATTTATGCAATGGTGAAAAAATGAATGTCATGGTCCCTTGTCCGTTGCTCAGTGCAGGTCTTTATTCCATCCTTATCACCCTCCTGCTCCTTGTCTGGGTCATGTGACACACCTGATGCCACCCCCGGACACTGTGTAGAGTAGCTGTGGCAGCATTCTTGGTGTGGCTACAAAGGTGCGCTGAGTGGCCATGTTTCTTTGTTAACTCTGTTCACATACCGTGATTGTCTGGGCTCCGTCAGAGGCCTGCCACTAGTCATTCTTCTCGAGACCCCGGGCATCTGTCACACCACACTCCCATTTGGCACCCCTTCCTCCACCTGCTTTTGGTGCTTGGGGAATTCCCTGTCTCTTGCCAATTAAGACAGGACCCAGTCCTCTGCCTCCTATGTTGTCCTACCCTGTGCTCTGCTCTCCCTACCTATAGGGGTCCGAGAAGGGCTGGCAAGGAGGATGACAGGTGCTTTAGAGACCAGGAGAGCCCTAGTGGCTGTGACCAATCACTGCCCCACCATCCACCTCTGGCCTTTGCAGGCAGGAAGAGAAGGGACAGGACTCTCCCTCCAGCCATGTCTAGTCTTCTGACATGAGGGATGACCCTAGAGGGCCATCCTTCCACTAGATCTTCGCCAGCAGGTGCTCCCGAGCCCCGGGCTTTTAGGAGCGTCCCCCCAGCCAGGGCAGCTGGCTGCTTCCTCTCTGTAATGAGCCGTCTGCCCTGCCTCATGTGGTGCTCTGAGCATGAGAGTGTGGGGTAGGGGCTGCTCCTGCCCTGTGCACAGCCTGCTCACTGCCGTATGCTTTGAGGAACAGCTCCCACCCCACTGACACAGACCTCTCGCCCATATAGGACTCTGCAAGATGCAACTGGGCCTGGCCCCGCCTCTTCACCTTGAGACATTAGCGCTCCTGTCTTTTGTGGCTAGAAATGGGACTGCTGACATAGATGCCAAACGGTTAGACAATCTTTCCTCTGTGCTCCATCTAAGTGAGTCTCTGTAAAAGTCACAGTTCGGACTCAGACTGCTCCCCTGTGTCATATCTGTGCCCACACATGCCCCTGGTCCTCAAGACAGAATGAAAGTTATTACCTTCATCTTGGTTCGTAGGAAACCCTGGTCTCTGCTCTGGGCATCTGTCAGATGGTTCACATCTTCAGATGGTAGCTGGGCCACCACACAGGGTCCTGGGGCCACACTATAGCTGGAGTCCCGAAGGCTCATGTCCAAAGCCAGAGGGCAAGACGGGGGTTCGGCCACAGACGGCTCTGGCTCCCGGTAGGGTGGTGGTGGACAGAAGCCCAGGCTGACTGGAGGGAGAAGAACAGCCAGGTGAGGGTGGGTGGGAAAAATCCATCAGAGTTCCAGAAAGATTCATAAGCAAAGGGAAGGCTGGAATCGGCAGCCTCCCTTCCTCCCGTTGCAGGCATGTGGCGGGGCGGGGCCCTAGGCCGTCAGATGCTGCACCTCCCTCCTGCCCCATTAAGGTAATTACAGGTGACGCCAGCCAAGAGCCACTGCCCCCTGAGTAACTTCTCTTAGCGGAACTGGGAGGTCTGAGTTGCCCTGCCAATTATGCTGCAAAGTGTCTGCCTGCCCCACCTGGGCCAGTTGCTCTGGATTCCAGCATGCCCTTACTCCTCTGGGGACAAAGGGCGCCACTGGAGGCCCTGGCCAGGAAGTTCCTTCAGACTCATTCTAATCCTTGAAGGGTCATTGGCAGTCTGGACCCTTCTGGGCCTCTCCAATGGGCAGACCATTGGGGTTTGGGTGGTCCTAGCCTTTCCTCCCCTGACCTGGCCAAACCCTGTTACTGTAGCCTATCAGGACTCCCGGGCTCAGGCTGGGCATAGCTCTGTCAGCAAAGAGGCCAGGTGGGTGGAGAGGGAGGAGGCCAGGGAGCAGCAGGTGGACGCTCGCTCGTAACAGTCTCTGGGCGCCCTGCCCAGCGCTTACACAACCCTCCCCCACTGCGGGACCGCTCACTGCGGCAGTCAGGCTGGGTACCCTCCGGCAGTGCAGTGGCATCACCGATACCTGGCAGCCCTTTGACAAGGCCGCTCCCCTCAACAAACACCGTGAACTAAACGGGCCAGGCCTACAAGGCTGGGTGAGAACCCTGAGCCCTAGTCCTTATAGGACAGACATAGACACACAGACAGTAAGTCTCAAGGCCAACAGAGCTGGGACACGAAGTATAATTTTCCAATTAGTCAGTACAACCTAAGCTCTGTACCTAGAGCCTATGAGTTAGGAAGTTTCCTAGTTTCAGAAGGAAAACATCAAGAGTGGGCCTGGTAAAGCCTAAAGGATGCATGAATCCAACCAGCTCAGATAGACTAGGATTTCAGGGCTTCAAGCTAGGCTCTCTGAATACTGTATTACAAACCAGAGATGTCAGGGGAGGGCAAGGGCCCAGGCCCAGGCCCAGGCCTTTACCCTCACCTCTTCTGGAGGACCGTCAGGGCTGTGGGGGAAGGTAAATAGAAAAGTACTTGAGTTTCGGGAGAGCCCAGTTCTCGCCCCCTCAAAACACAACAAAGTTCTGACAGAGGAAGACTGCTCCTGCCTGCTGCCCAGAACCCGTTCTTCTAGCGCTGGCGTCCGTCTGTCCAGGGAGTGGGGGGGACCTTAATGAGCCGCCTCATTCCAGGAGTTGATTCACTAGCGCCTGGCCCTGGCCTGGCACCTGAGCTGGCATACCACCTCTCTCTGAGCCATGCCAGCTGGGGTCAGGCTCAAGCTTTGAGTTCAGCTTACAGAAACCAGTCTGCCTATAGTGGGGACTCCAACCAGGACAGTGGGGTCAGAATAATGGTGGCTCTGGTGCCCACTCACCAGACAGACCCTGGCTGTAAGTCCAAAATTAGATGACAATTTCTGTTTCTCAACCCAAGTAAAATGGACACCTCCACCATCCTCAGGCTGTTACTCTGGGTTGGTATGAGTGAGGCTTCTGAAAGCCAACCCTGGGTGTGGGATCAGCAGAGGGTAGAGTGACGGTCTGGGAGGTGAGCTGTCACACTTGACTCCTTGGCTCTATGGAGGAGAGGCTGAGCTACGAATCAGGACTGCAGTCCACTGGGGAGGACACACTCTTGCCTTTCTTCGTCCTTCTATACAAACCTGGGAAGGTTGCTAAGGACAGCAGACAGGACAGAGCTGGCTAGATGGGCACTCCATGCTGTGTCTACCCTGAGCAAAGGGCCAATAAGACTGTCAGGGTGGGGATGTTTGCCTCAACTTACCCACCCCACCAGACCTGTCTCCCTGCCACCCCCACAAATGTGTGTCTCCCAGGGCTGCACGCACAGGGAGTATTCACTGGCATACTATCCGCCTATCCTGAGCGCCGCTGAATGGCAGGCGGCAAAACTGGTTGGGCCTTGCTGGTGCTCCTCTCTGTCCCCTAATTAGATGTTTCCGGCAAGGCAGTGGCCACTGTGGCTACTACTCATCACCCCCGCCCACAGCCACTGAGTGTGGCAAGGCCAGCCCAGCTGGCCTCTTCCTCCTCCCTCAGGGCTGATAAGTTCTCTCCCATCGCCTCTACCTGGGTGATGTTACAGAGCTGGTCCGGAGCAGCAGACCAAATTTGAAAAGGCTGCCATCCATGGGCCATCTCCTGCCCTACCCTCCACAGGCCTCCTTTCTTTCAGTCACTGGCCCAAATACCAGGCAGATTGCCAGGTCCTAGCCCATAAAAGCCTCAAGATGGGGCTGCCCATTAGGCCTGACCCCCAGCTTTCTGGACAGAACAAGTTAACTTGATGTGTGCATGCCTGAATCACAGGTGTGGTGTGCACATATGGACCAACCCTGTTCTGAGTGTGGCTTGCACACCCCAGGCTGGCTTTAGCTGCCTTGTACACTGGTCTGGAAGGGCTGGGTCCCTGTGTTCAGCTCCCTGGCACCTGAAAGGAACGGCGGCAGCCTGCTGGCAGATGCTGCCGTGCCCGAGCGCAACAGGCCTGCTCTCGACCTTTTGCTGCCCTTCTGTCTGATGTCAGCAGTCTCAAGGCAGGAGCTCCCCTTTCCCAGCCGCTTTCCTTTCATTCAGTGTCCGTGCTGACGTTAGACTTGACTCTTGGCCCTTGTGCCAGGGGCCTGGCTCTGAACGGATGACAGCTGTACTTGCTGTGGCACCCTCACCCAGTGGGCCGGGGTCTGCCTGCCTCTCGTATGGTGTCTGCTGAAAATGAACAATGACACAAACACCAACAACGGCTGAGGTGTGCTCCCTCTCCTCCCCGAGCCTGGAGTACTAGCCTCACCATCTTTCTGGGACAGTTTAGCAGCTTCTGCCTTAGGACATCCAAGCTTGGGTGACCGTGTCTCATAAGACAGGTTGAGAGTTGCATTACCAGCTGCTCATCTATCCATGTCCTGCTAGCTGACCCCTTCACTCGCCAGTACTCTCAGCAGTTGTTAGAGTGATCCTGAAAGCTCAGCCTTCCCACACACGCTACATGAGCTGGGGGCCCACGGCTGACTTTTTAGCCAGTCCTACCCAGCCTGGCAAGAACAGTTAGAGGCAAGTGGATCTCTGAGTTTGAGGCCATCCTGGTCTGCAAAATAGTACCAGGACAGCCAGGGCTATACAGAGAAACCCTGTCTCAAAAGAAAAAGAAAAAGCCCAACAACAACAAAAGATGCCCAGCATGGTGGCAAACAGATCTCTGTGAGTTAGAGGCCAGCATGGTCTACATAGTGAGTTCCAGGACAGTCAGGGTTAGACAGTGAGACCGTGTCTCAAACAACAACAAAAGTTGGTCAAGTTCCTACACTATCTATCTAGAGCAGTGTCTGGCTGGGCTATGTTATCTGGAGGAATACCAGGGCTCCTGCACTTCAGCTTGGCTGACCCGTCTCCAGCATGTTTGTTTCTTTGAAACAAGGTCTCAGATGGCCTCAAACTTTTTATGGGTCTAAGGCTGGCCTTCAACTCCATGTCTTCCCTCTTTCACTGTCCAAGGACCGAGATTACAGGTGTGCACTGTACCTAGCTTCTGAGCTTTTGAACATGAGAAGACTATTGCCAGAGGGGAGGCTTGGGAGTGGGGGCCTCAGAGCCTGGGAGAGGCTCCTGGAGTTCTCCTGGAGCTCCAGGTTTCAGGCTCAATCTGTCTCCAGGTCCCTTCCTGACTTGACTCCACTCAGCAGGGATCAGCTTCTGAGGAGCTGTTTCACTGTGCTTCCTCGAGCCCTTCCATGGTGCAGGAGTGGAATTTACCCCCAGCTACAGGTACAACAGCAAACCCTTCCCTGTCACCACAGAGTAAACATACAACCAAACAGAAACAGGAGAGGTGGAGGGTGGTGCAGAGGAGCCAAGTGAACCCCTAAGCTGTGCTGTCTTCAGTAGGGAATAGCAGCATTTCCTCATTTCCATTGCAGGCTACCAACTCTCAGCTGTGCCTCTTCAAAGCTGAAGGAGTCACTGCCCTAGGAGAAGACTCTGGAAGCTTGTGTAGGGAGGAAGGCTGAAGTGATTGTGACGGGCAATTCCCAGGTCAAGCCCAGCCACACAACATGGCCAGTGTATGGTAAACCTTCCCCTCTGGGTGGTCTCCCAGAAGTCCTGGGCGGGAAGATCGGAACTCGCACACTCCCATGGTCCTCAGCCCTCCTGATGGGAATGGGGTCATTGCTTAGCTGGTCAAAAAAATGTGCCCCAAGAGCCTGTGAGGTAGGGTGACAGAAACGTGCCTAGCCGGCTCCTGAGGTCATGGCTGGCTGGTGATGGAATGGCTCAGCAAGGAGACAAAACACACCCCCTGCACTCCAGCCATCTGAGGCATCCAAGCATAGACTGAGGCCAATTCCTTTTTTTTTTTTCCAAAACTGTGGGAAGAACTGTGGCCCCAGTGGCCATTTAACTTACAGAAGAAAACTGAGTACTATAACCCCTACCTAGGTCTTTCTCTTCACTCAACCAATGAAGGAAATTCTTCCAAGAGCTTATTTCCCACCCCGGCAATCGTGACGAGGGAGTAACTACCTGCATGTCTCCTCATGAGGACAGCTGTGGTAGGAGGCAGCGACCACCCAGAGGTCCATCTACTCGATGGGACAGGCTATGGAGCCAGATCTTTGTTCCACAGATCTGTGCTGGAAAAAACCTCTAGAACCTTGGGAAGTAGAGTTTCTTTGTCCTTTGTGAAAGTCAACATATGATCTGTTACTGATTGGGATGTGAAATAAAACTAAAAATAACACCACTCTGAGCCTGGCTCAGACACAGCTCACCTTTAGCACAGTCCAAGTTCAGTTTATCAGATCCCAAGGAGCAGCTAAGCAGCACGTCAAACCCAGGTTGGGGAGGAGGCTGGAGCAAGGAGGGGCTGTGTCCCTCACCGGCCCTTCCGGAGGTGGAGCACTGGACAATTGGCCAGAACACTGGCCAGGCAGAAATCACAAAATCCCAAGCCCATACCATACCTTGAGGAGGCACCCTTCCCTTTTCGCCTCCGATTTCCCCACTCTGGGGTTTTCTAGGATCTTCTGGCCCATTCCTTTGTTTAAGAAGCCTTCAGAACAGCCTTACAGCCTTTTGAGATGAGGTTAAATTGTAAAACATCCTGCCACCACTGGATCCTGGCAGGTCTAACACAAAACACTCACTTACACCCAAGACACTAACAGCTGATTCAAGAGGGAAACTGAGGCAAGAACCCACACAGGGTCCCTCTCTCACCACCCTCTTTCTTAAAAGCCTGGGTGGTGCCAGAGAGCCTGCAGATCAAGGGTCAAAGTCGGTTGGTTAATTACCACCCCCCCCCCTTGGAGGCGCCGGGCAGTACGCTCCTGCCCCACCCCCAAGGCCGGGGAGAGGGGAGTTGAGAAGGGCTCTCTTGCCTCCCGACCTAGGACTTTTGTATAGGAGCAGAAGTACCCTAGGGGTCCCGAGGAAGATGCTGCTGGAGGAAGAGACAACTCCGGTTACCAATTCTAAGTTGACGCACAGGCTGTCAAGGAGTCTTCCCTAAATAAACTAGGTACACCAGATTCCTGGAGTATGTACCTTAGGCGTGGGGTGGGCTCCAGAACCACTTGTTGCTTAGTGTCCTCTGCAAGGGTGAACAGACGTGGTACTCAACATCACCTTGTCTAAAGGGCAGCAAGGTGCATCAGGTGTGTTTCTCAGCAGCTCCTGAACCATCAGTCTGGAGGCCAGGGAAGCTCAGTGGCCCTGAACCCCATCTCTCTTATCTTAACCGGAGCAGTGTTGTGGGGACGACTAAAGCTCCAAGATTTCCTTTACAATGTTGCTCAAGTCTCTCAGCGGAAACTCCAGCTCCTTTTCAGTCCCCCGCCCTCCCCTCCAAAGTGGCATCGCTCCAGTGCTCCTCTCCTGCCTCATGAAAGTCCAGGTTTTCTGGATTTACGACGCGAGAGCGGGAGGGGGATGCAGGGGGGGGGTTGGTGTCCCTGAGCGGTGACACACCCCGTTGCGTCCCCTGCGGCGCGGTGCGGGCCTGCGATCCGGAGCCTGCGAGCGGCCAAGAGCCTCCGCTTGGAGCCCCTTCCCCCCACTCGCGCTCCCCCCGCGCCGGGGGTCGGCCTGCGGCGGCAATCTGCGTCCCCACGCACCACTGACCGGCGCCGACCGCTCTTTCGTGCGCCCCGCCCTCCCGGCGCCGGGAGACCGCGGTGCCTCACCTGGCACGTAGATCTCGCCGCGCTCCTCGTCCGGGAGTTCGCTCCAGTTCCTCTTGCACGTGGAGACGCATGGCTTCTTCACTAAGAACGCGCGGGGCATCTTCGATCCCTCCTGGCCCGGCGCAGTTCGCTCCCCTAAATCGAGTCCCGGTGGTCGTCCCACCTTTTGGGGGCTGAAGGGGGATGCGGACAGTTCAAGAAAGGAGTCGCCAAGGCGTGCCCACGTTCTGAGGAAAGAGAGTACCAGGCGCCGCGCGTGGCACTTCCAACTCCGCCGAAAGTCGCCGGTGCCCGCAGAGCGGGTGAAGCCAGGTGCACCCGGATCGAGAAGCGCCAAGTGAGCGTCCCTTGGCTCGACTGGCGTCCCTGCGGCCGCTCGAGAAGTCTTCAAGTGCGAGCTGGACGGACGGGTTCACGCTTTATTGGCTCGCGGCGGTGTGTGTTGGTGGCTCGGGCGGGGGTGGGGTGGGGGTGTTGATCTGATCTAATTAGCTTGGAGTGGCCGGGAGAGCGATGGCGCATGCGTTGGGAAATAACGGTGACAACCCACCTATTTGTTACCTGTCGAACCGGTTTCCATTCCGCTGCGGGTGAGGTGGCCTCGCGGCACGGGCGGGGCGGCCCGACTGGGGTATGGGGGGACGGGCTCCGGTCCCCACACCCAGCAGCACCCGGTCCGCCCCGGACCTCCCTTGCCTGGTGTGCTCAGGTTTGCAAACTAGAGTTTCGGAGGGAAAAGGCACGGGAAGGGAAGGGAGGGCAACGTTATTTGCACCGGCGCTCGCACGCACCGTGGGCGATGACATAAAACTCGCCCAACAGGCCAGGGCCCAGCCTGACGCGCCCGGGGCGCCCCAAGAGGTACAAAGCCACCGGGCGGGAACAGGCGCCCAGGTCCGCACCCAGCGGCCCTGGATCCCCAAGGCCAGGCTGAGCAATTCTTGGTTCAGCACAGAGGTATTTGCTGGGCACTGGCTTCCTGCGGGAAGGCACGCAAGGCGTCAGGAGAGCGTGGACCGGGAGGCTCGGACTCGCCTGCGGATCCAAAGCTCTGGCCTGCCTTCCGGTTGCGCGGGCGTTTAAATTTACTGAGGCCAGCGTCTTGGCATATAGTCTAGCACAGTCGCCCAAGCTCTCCTGGTCATAAATAGCCGGATTTGGGATTCCGAAAATCTGCAAGAGACCAGAGGATGAGGACCCCAGCTGAGGCCGGACCCAGTCCTCTCTTGCCTGTGGCGGCCGGTGGCCCTCCCTGGGTGTGAACTCAGCCAGCAACTACTCCCCATCCGCCTTGCTGTATTCTTCAGCAGGCCCAGTTGGAGAGATGCCCCACCCCCATGGAACTGCCCGGGAGTGTTCCGTGGCCTTCATGAGCCATTTCACTGTGACACTTTGGCCGTGGCTGGGTTTCTTTTACTGGCTGACCTATTAAAGGCAGGGATGGGACCTGCAGTTAAAGGCTGCTAACATTTTAGACTCCAGGCCTAGTACACCTTTCTCATATAGTGTTAAATGTTTGCTGGAACATATTGTGAGGGGAATTAGTCTGATAAGTGGATTCACACAGTTCAAAAGTCAGGAGTCACAGGCTGTAACCCAGCACGTGGGAAGCTGGGGCAGGAAAGCTGAGCGTTAGAGGCCAACCTAAGTTTCATCGTAAATACTGTCTCAAAAACAAAACATCCAAAGAGTCCAAAGAAACAAAAGCTATGGAGGTGGCTCAGAAGGTAGGCTCTTACCGCCAACTCGGAATACCTTGGAATTGGTGCCATGCATGCATCTGCACAAGACAAGCAAAAAAGGAGAGGGATGTGCTTAGGGTGCATTCAAAGTCATTCGGAGGGCGTTTCAAAAGTGGGAATACTTGAAGAGACCCCAGGATCTTCGTGAAGATGGGTGCATGGGGGGAGACACACCTGCTTCCTCCTCACTGAGCAGGAAGAAGTTTGACCTAGGGCCTGAACTCTCCCATCCTGGAGAATCCTATCACCTACCTCATAGTGTTACTGGGAAAGTGCTAGACCCTTCTTAGGAGCCAATAAGGTCTGCTACTCCCCTTGCTGTCCCTAGAGAACTGTCTATCATAGTTCACTCTTCCCTTATCCACCTTTCATTCTGATGTTGGACCTTGACCTTCAACTAACATTAAGTGAGCACCTACTGTATGCTTATCTTTAGCAATAAATCCTGGGGCAGCAACGTGGATTGTCTAGGAGACAGCTGAACTTGGCTCACTTCTTTCCTTCTCTCTCTCTCTCTCTCTCCCTTTTTTGGCTTTTTCTTTGAGACAGAGTTTCTCTGTGTAGCCTTGGCTGTCCTGGAACTTGATTGTAGACCAGGATGACCTTGAACTCAGAGATCCACCTACTTGTGCCTCCCAAGTGCTGGGATAAAAGTGTGTACCACCATGCCTAACTTGGCTTACTTACCATAGTCTGTCTGTCTTGCTTTCTTTTCCCCTCAGTGAAACCCGTTTCTTTTTTGTTCCCCTTTCTTTCTTTTTTTTAAGACAAGTTCTTTCTGTGTATCTCTGTCTGTCTGTCCTGGAACTCTCTATGTAAACCAGGTTGACCTTGAGCTCATGGAGATCTGCCTGCCTCTGCCTCCAGACTGTTGGGATTAAAGCATGCCCAGCTTCCATAGTATTTCTTGAGCTCTTTTGTAGTGCCATCCAGTCAGGTTGGTCCTAGTGAGTGTGCAGGAGAGTCTATGGTAAAGTCTTCATAGGTGACCCCGAACACAAAGCCAGGCTTTCTCATCAGAGAGCACTTTGGATGTCCGGAAATCCAGGTGGGGAGCTCAAATGGATAAAGCCAGCCAGTCCACTGTCTCCACTGATAGAGTCACAATGAACAGAATGAGGTCTGGGAGAGTGGGCTCTGTCTGTAATGCCTATCTGCTGCTGCAGCTCCAGTGGGATATCAATAAATATTTGTGGAATGAGTGACTAGCCTTTACATTTTTACTTATTTGTATGTTTTGCCTGCATGTGTCTATGTATTGCATGCATACTTGGTGCTTGAGGAAGCCAGGCGTGGGCATCAGATGTACTGAAACTGGAGTTACAGGTGGTGGTGAGTGGCCATGTGGATGCTGGGAATTGACCTCAGATCTTCTATAACAGCAACAGATGCTCTTAACTGATAAGACATCTCTACAGCTACTCTACCTTATTCTTTAAGACAGTGTCTCTTTGTCGGGTGTGGTGGTGTACACCTTTGAGCTTAGCACTTAGGAGGCAGAGGCAGGTTTATCTCTGTGAGTTCAAGGCCATCCTGATCTATATAATGAGTTCCAGGGGAACCAGTCTATGTAGAGAGACTGTCTCAAAAAAGTACAAAAGATAGGGCCTCTCACTGGACCTAGAACTTGTGGTTTCAGCTAGACTAGCTGAGCGATGAGCTCCAGAGATTTCCCTGTCTCCATCCCCCAGCACAGGGCTCCAGGTGCACATGGGAGCTGAGCATCAGAACTCAGGTCCTCATGCTGGCTTAGCAAGTGTTTGCCCATTGAGCCATATGCTAACCCAGAGATTTGACCCACAGGTTGCCTGCGTATGAGCTTTGGGTCATGGGCACCCTGGAGCTAGACAAGGTATGGGAACTTGGGTCTGAGCTAAGTTACGAGCATCGTAAGGAGACACTTCTGCTCTGTGGCCATTGGCCAAATACCATTCGTCTCTATCTCTTAATTCAACTCCCAGATATGTCATGAGTTACCACTAGGTACTAGCTCTGGAGATGTTACAGTACGGTAGAAAGCTGCACTGTGGGAGGGTTAACTAGGGGACTGTGGTGGTGGCAGGTGGGCTTGCTGAGGTCCGAGTGACAGGTGGGAGCCAGCTGGACAAAATGACAAAGATCATGAGCAGCAGGAAAAGCTGGGACTAAGGCCCATGATAGAAAACCGATGTGGTGTGTGCAGCTGTGGCAGCTGGATGCTGGATGCTGGGAGGGAGGGAGGGTGAAAGGTGGGGCGTGACCTGGGATGTGCTGAGGGAAGCAGAGGCAGGGAGGTGGCGGTAAGGAAACCAGGGCTATGTTGGACCTACTGAAATGGTCCAAGTAAGAGAAGGCGGGTGAGTCACCGTGAAAACCAAGCCGTGAGTCATGTGTCTTCAGTGACATCACCTGTTGGTATAGAGGACAAGAGGAAGCAGGAACCACAGCAAGCAAGGACCATGATGTCCAATGCATGCTTTCTGAGTATGATGCACAATTTCCATCCCAAGGAGCCTGAAGAGCTAGGAAGGGCATTGGACAGTGGGCAAGTGTTCCTCCATGTCTTACAGAAGTGCTTAGGAGCCAGGATGGGATGGAGATGAGGAAGGAGCTGTGAAGCTGGAGGCCTAAAGCATGAAGGATCATGGGAGATACATGCTGAAAAGACATAGAAAAGAATCCAACTGCAGATAGTGCCTGTGGATCTGGGGCAAGTCACCTACCCTCTCAGGGCCTCAGTTTCCCTAGCTGTAGCATTGGGCTCCTAGTTCGAGCTCTGACCTTTGGGAGTCAGGAGATTCTGCAGAATGACCTTTGCCTAGGGGACAGCAGCTCTGAAGTAGACAGCCTTTCAGAGCAGGCTGATGGGGTCCAGCCACTTGAGCGACTTCCCTCCTGCACTCCCTCAGCTAAGCCAGGTGTCCAACAGTCCAGCCTGGCCTCTCCCTATCTGGCTGAGGACAATGTTGTTTCTCCTGCCTCCATCTCCCAAGTGTTGGGATTACTAGCCCGTGCCACCATACCCTGCCAACCAGCAGCTTTTCCAGCCGTTTGGTAATAGGCCTTGGAAGCTGTGAAGCTCCTGACAGGGGGCTACCCCTAGACATATGGTGAAAGGCTGGGCACCATAGGCAGAAGGGACGGGTTTTCACCACGGAATGGAGCTGGTTGCTCTCGGCAGGTACCAAAGAGTGGGGTGGAGCTCCACCGCAGTAGCCACAGGTCCCATCTGCCGGTTTTAGGCCCAGATGACAGTCTCCATATTTTTTCTATCTCTGATGTCCGAGCTATCAGCTTCCAAGTGCCACAACCCCACAGCCCCAGGTCACTGCCTCTCTCTTCCCAACCCCTCTCTCCCCAGCCGCCCCTGCCATAGTTCGCCTGCTCCATAGCTCACCAGCCATAACTGTGAAAACCCATGCCCCTCCTCTCTCTTCAGTAGAGCATCCCCAGGCCCCAAGAACCCTGCTCCTGGGACCTCTGCCTCCCTGCACCGTGTGCCCCCCAAACTGCCTTCCTCCCCAAAGCTGGCCACCATCTCCTCAGCTCAGCCTCTTCTGCAACTACCCTTGTCCCTATCTCAGAACCGGCTGCTCCTCATCCAGGCTTCTGGCAAACGTTCCTTTGTCCTAGAGCTGATGCCCCAGCTAAGTTCTTGTCCCCACTGCCACCTCCACCCCTGGATTCTGTTCTCTTTGTATTCTTTCACTATGACATTTTGTTTTTACCAGTTTGTCAATGCTATCCCACCAGTACTAGATTTTTCTAGGACCTGTTTGTTTTTACCTTTTATGTTATTTTTGTATGTACACATGCATATTTTAAGGGTGTATGTGTGTGTGCTTACAAGTATGCGAAGACCAGGAATTGAAGTCAGGTGTTTTCTTCAATTGCTCTCCACACAAATTTTCTTCCTTGCTTGTCTTTTTCTCTCCTCTCTCTCTCTTTGTTGCTTTCATTTTAGACAGGGCCTCTCACTGAGCTTGGAACACATTGATTTGGCTAGACTGTCTGAGCTCCCAGGATCCTCTTGTTTTTGCCTTACTAGCACTAGGATCATAGGTGCTCACTGCCACACTCAGCGTTTATGTGGATGCTGGGGGATTCAAACTTGGGTCCTTATGTTCGTGTAGCAAGCCCCAGGCTCAGGGAATCCTATTTACAAAGCCATTTTAAAAATAATTTTACCACCAGGCGGTGGTGGCACACACCTTCTAATCCCAGCACTCTGGAGGCAGAGGCAGGAGGATCTCTGAGAGTTTAAGACCATCCTGGTCTATGTGAGCAATTTCTAGGACAGCCTCCAAAGCCACACCCTGTCTCGAAACCCCCCCCAAAATTATGGTACTAGGCCTTGAACATGCTAAGCAAGCCTTCTATCACAAATATGTACCCCAGTTCCCTTTTTGCTTCCTGAGATGGGGTCTTGCTAAGTTGACCTAATTGATTTTGATCTTTCTGTAGTCAAACCTTGAAGATTTTACCTTTCTGCCTCAGGTTCTTGAGTAGCTGTGATTACAGGTTGACAGTAACATTGTTTTATTTCTTTTGTCTTTTCTTTCTTTCTTTTTTTATACAGCCTCACTACTTAGTCCTGGACTGCCCTCCCTGGTCTGAAACTCATCTCTGCATCCTGAGTTCTGGGATTAAAGGTATCTACCACCATGGCCAACCCAAATAACACCATTTTAAATAGTTTTATCATACAGCAATAACCCTTAAGTTCAGGTGCTTTCTGTCTCAGTTAGAGTGACTATTGCTGTGATGAAATATCGTGACCAAACGTTGGGGAAGAAAGGGTTTATTTGGCTTACACTTCCACATCACAGTCCATCACAAAAAGAAGTCAGGACAGGAACCTGGAGGCAGGAGTCTGATTCATAGGCCATGGAGGGCTGCTCCCTATGGCTTGCTCAGCCTGCTTACTTATGGAACTCAGGACAACTAGCTCAGGAATGGCACCACCCAAAATGAGCTGAACCCTCTTCCATCAAACACTAACTAAGAAAACATCTTACATCCAGATCTCAGTTGAGCTTCCTTCCCTCCTCTCAGACGACTCTAGCTTGTGTCAAGTTGACATAAAACTCGCCAGCAGTTTTCATCACTGCAAAAGAAAATTCTGTGCACATTCACAGCAACCCTCCATTCCCCAATCCCTGCCCTGGTACCTACTATGCTTTTTGGTTCATGGGCTCCTTTTGTGAAGCATCCCTGTATCCGCAGCACCCAGTGCTATGGGGAGGGGGTTGTTTTTAGGTCCCATTTGACAGATGAGAAAATGGGAGGGGTAGAAGGGTGGAGGGAAGACCAAGTACTGGGAAATGAATGGGATTGGAGTGCATGATGTCAAATGTCCAAAGACTTAGTAAACATTATATTAAAAAAATAAAATCAAGGTCGGGAGGTGGTGGCACACGCCTTTAATCCCAGCACTCAGGAGGCAGAGGTAGGCGGATCTCTGTGACTCCGAGACCAGCCTGGTCTCAAGATCTAATTCCAGGACAGCCTCCAAAGTCACAGAGAAACCCTGTCTCTAAACTTCCCACCCCCCAAAAAAAATCAAGGCCCAGGGCCATTCAAAGATTAACTTTTCCTTTTTCCAGTGTATTGTCTAGCTTTCTCCAGAACTCTCCTTCATGGGGAAGGACAGAAATGCAGAGGAGGGAAGAGGTGAGGGTAACAGATGGGAACTCCTGTCTCCTTACACCAGACATGTCACTCTCTCAGGAGGGCCTGATGGTGAGCAAGGACACCTCTCTTACGCCCAGGCGATTACCAGGACAAATCAAACATCACCTCTCACAGAGGATTTGGGTAGGCAGATGAGGACAGGGCCCATTCAGAAGACACCCGGAGACCTGAGGGAGGCAGACGAGGCATGTAGCAGAAACACAGTTCTGCTTACGAGAGGCTCTGGGACTTTGTGCCACAGACTACACCTTTTCTGCTTTTCTGGGCTCCTGTGAAAGCTCATGCATGACAGGGTTGCCATGAGCCCTGGGGAGTTCAGGAAACCACACATGCCACCTCAAAGAACCCAAGCCCAGAGAGGCTGGATGTTGGCAGAGGCTACAGCATCAGAAGCTTGGGACCCAGCCAGAGTTGGACTCCCTGACCCCTGAAGCCTCTCTCCTCAACTGTAACAGGATTTAATAATCCTTCCTGGCTCCTGGAGAGCTGGGAGACAGGACCTGCAGTTATCAGCACCCTCTGGGCCTCAGACAGGGAAACCAGACAGGCTCCTACCCCAACCTGCCCTCCAAGCCCAGGGCTGCTCTCATCTTGGCCTCTTTCATCTTAGGCCTAATTAGCCAGGCGCCTCACCCCAAAGCTCCGTGTACAGGAGTCATCACTCCCAATTTATAGATGGGGAAACTGAGGCACCTAGAGGGAAGTGGTTTAGAGCTGTCGCCTGTGAGTCAGCTGTGGAGCCAGAGCCCAGAGGAGGCCCGGTCGAGTCTTCAAGCTGGACCAGCCCCATCTTCGTCCGTCTCCTATCCTTGTTCTGGGGGCCCATGCACCCTTCCTTTTAGGATTCTACCTCTCCACTCTTATCTGCGGGGCGGGCCAGGATGGGGAGGGAGGGGCTTGGGCAACCAAAAGGGAGACAAGGTGCCAGAGGTTCGCAACAGGGGCTCAGGTGTTTCATCTTCAAGAGGCTAGCAGAAGGCTTGAGGACGCTGGGCGGCGAGAATTGGACACCAGTAGGGAGTAGTGCCCTGGAAACTAGCGGCCAATGGGTATCCACAGCATGGAGTTCCTGAGCCACAAGCCCAGTTCCTGAGGCGCAGCCTGGATCCAGCTCTCCGGACTCCAGTAGGGAGTACACCACTTGACCCTAGGTTTCTGGCAGCCCGGTCTCTCTACTCAAGTCTTGGTTTCTCAGCCCACGTTAGTCGTGCTACGAGCTGAGTGATCCTCCAGGCCCCACCAACACGCACACCCAAAGTCAGGATCCCGTTGTTTTTCAGCTTCGCTGCGGCGTAAGGCCCGCCCCGCCTGCCTGCCTGACCCTTATTCGCAACCGGTGTGGCTTCGGACAAAGGTCAGCGGCTACCATCCAGCTGCGACTCTGGCGCCCGCTCCTCGCCTCCAAGCAGAGCGGGGTGTCCCCCTCTCCGCCCCCCCGCCCGGTCAGCGTTGAGGACGCCAAGCCAAGCTCTGCGGCGCCGGTCCGACCGGTCCCACCGTGACCCGCGCCTCGCTCTTCCTGCTCTGCCCTGGGAGTGCGTCCCGCGCGCCCCCCCAGCGGCCGCTCAAAGACCCACACTCTTGAGGGCCGTGTGGGGCGGCTAGGGAACGCGCCGGCGGCCTTCCCGATCCACCAAAGCCGCTGTTCCACCCCATCGGGGAGCGGGCCGAGAGCTCGGCCCACCACACTCCGCCTCTGCCCGTGCCTGCGGCGGTTTCGGGGCAGGGGGCCTGCAGAGCGAGACAGTTACTCAGACCTGGCGAAACCGGCGTGTCGACACCTGCGGGCCCGGCGGGCGTGGCAGGCGGAGGCTCCGTTACGCCCCGCCTCTGGGCTCGCCCGGTCCCGGCCGCCCACGCGCCGCGCGCCCCGCCCCGGCCCGCGCCGCCAGCCTGCCAGCCCGGAAGGAGCCGACCGAGCGCCTGCGGCAGCTGACTCAAGCGGTGAGAGAGGCCGGCCCGTTACCACGGGCGCCAGGGGCCCAGGCGACGCTGTGGTTTCGGTGCTCCTCGTAGGCGGGCAGCCTAATGAGCTCTCGGCACGCACCTCCCGGGTACCCCCACCCTGATCGCGGCGGTTCCTATCCCTCAGGGGCTTGAGCCGCTGCTTTCTGCCTCATCCCTGAAGCCTCCAGATTTCAGCTTGGAACTTGGGCATTGGGGTCTCTGTTGGGGTCTGCAAGGCCGCCCCTAGGGTGACAGCAGACCCTCAGGGACGAGGGGTCGGGGAGGACCCGGGCGCCCTCTGGCGGCCGTGAAGGTCTTGCGCGTCCTCGCCGCCGTGTCTGCGCCCGAGGGCCTGATACTCTTTCCCTCTGCAGAGAATTTAGTGGATGACTGACCATGGGACCCCTGAGTCGTGAAGCCTGGGCCCAGCGCCTGGGGGCTTTCCGAGCCAGCCCATCTGCCTTCCTGGCAGGTGCCGAAGGTGAGGATCTGGGTCGCGACCTGCTGAGTGACCTAAGGAGTGAAAAGCTAAGCGAGCAGACCAAGGTAGGTCGTGTCCGTGTGCTCTGCTGTGGTCCACGTGGTTGCACGTACTACTGCATGCTGACCTTCATCTTCACGAGTCCCTCTTAAATCCCCCATGTCAGGTTTCCTTACTGACACTGAGCTTGGAGTATTCCGACAAACTGTGGTCTGATGCACCTGCCGCGGAGGCTGCTGCCACCTCCTTGTTGGACACACTTGCCCTCCTGCCCTCGAAGCCTTCAGCTCTCCGGAGGCTCCTGCTATTGGCAGCCACCACAGTCCTGGTGTCAGGAGGTGCTTTGGGACCCACTTCGGGAGCTTCCTGCCGACTCCTGCCCCTTCTACTTGGTTTAGCTTCAGGCCGAGACATGGGACGAAGCTTTGGAACCACTTCAGAACAGCGCCACCTGCAGGCCACGGCGTGTGAATGCCTTGGGGAACTTGAGCGTTGTAAGCCTGGGCTGCTGGCTGGCTCCCTGGGCATGCTGCGAAGCCTCCTAGGGCAAATGGGTCCCATCCAGCCTGTCAGCCTGCTGCTGGCCCTTGTTCTGCACAACACCTTGGCGGTACCATCCAGGCCTGGGCCTGGGACTGGCCTGCAAGGCCTGCTTGTGGCTGGAGTCTCCTCCACTGGGAGTTGTCCCTGGGACTGGTCACTAGCTGAAGAGTGGGGTGCCCATCTTCTGCCCCAGGCACGCAGCTGGCCCACAAGTGAGGAGGAGCATGGCTCTCCACTGCTGGAGCCCAGCCCTGAGGAGGCCCGGGAGCTGAAGGCTGCTGTGGCCCAGCTTCTGGACACCTCCTACCTTCTCACTCCTGTGGCTCAGGCTCAGCTTCTGTGGCTGCTGGGCTGGGCCCTTCGGGGTCTTCGGGGACAGCCACCAGTGGTTTTCAAGCCACAGCTAGTTCGGTTGCTGGGCACAGCACAGCTGACACTGTTGCACTCCGTCCTGGCTCTCAAGGCGGCCTTCGGTGAGGCCCTGTTCACTGCTCAGGATGAGGCTCTGCTGCTCCGCAGGCTCACCCTGGTGGCCCAGCACCCGGCCTTGCCCTCACCCACATGCCTCTTCTACCTGCACTGCATCCTGAGCTTCCCAGAGAATTGTCCGCTAGGCTCAGAAGGGGAAGAGGCCGCCCCCCTGCTGTTGGGTCCCCAGCTGAGCCGGGGCCTCATGCCCAGTGTCCTACATGACCCAATGGTCCTCTTGGCCCGCCTGCATCTGCTCTGCCTGCTCTGCGCTGATGCTGAGGAAGAGGAGGAAGAGCAAGTTCACAGCCCACAGTGGTACCTACAGGAGCTGCTGGCTGGCCTACAGCAGAGGGCAGCCCTAGATGGTGGCCCCCAAGCCTTGGCCACTCTCTGTTTCCAGGCCTCATACCTGGTCGCCAGCTGCCTGGCTGGGCAACCTGCAGTGTGCACATCTTTGATCCACGGACTGGCCCAACTGTACCGAGCTCGGCCTTCCCTAGCTCCCCATTTTGTGGACCTCTTAGATCAGGTAAACCCCGAGCTGAGAGAGCCCCTCAGGGCGGTGCTGCAGCAAGAGGTGATAGCCAGGCCAGGCAAGAGCGAATCACTCTGCTGGCACCTTCGACTGCTGGCGAAGGTTGCAGAGGGAGATGCTCAGAGGGCCACCATTAGCTTTCTGCAGGCTGCCGCCGTGCACTGCACTGACTGGGGCCTACAGCAGGCCCTGCTGCGGGTGTGCTGCTCTCTGCTGCGGACAGGTGGGGGAGATGGGCTGGCAGGCTTGCTGCAGGTACTCGCCCGACAGCTGGAGGATGCGGATGGGCGGGACCACGCCCGACTCTACTATATCCTCTTTTCCCATCTGTCAAGTTCCAAGTTGGGGATGGCCCTGGGCCCCTCACTTGCTGCACCTGCACTGGCCTCGTCACTGGTGGCTGAGAACCAGGGCTTTGCATCAGCGCTGATGGTGCAGGAGACTCCAGCTCCAATTCAGTTGAGTGTGGAGCCTCAGAAGGCCAAAGGCCCGCCCCTGGTGCTGCGCCTGCAGGTGGAGGCCCTGGAGGTTCCTGTCTACTCTCTGGAGCTGCGCTTCCGTGTGGCAGGGCAGCTCTATGGGCCTTTGGAGGCTGTCCACATACCCTGTTTGCGTCCGGGACAGCCTGCCCATCCTCTGTTCCTGCCCTTGCAGCCCCGACGCCCGGCCCCTGCTCGCCTTCATGTCCAGGCCCTTTATACCACACCCGCTGGCCTCACATGCCACGCTCACCTGCCACCCTTGTCTGTGAAGTTTGCTGACCTCTTCCTGCCTTTCCCCCAGCTCCCCAAGGGCTCTGAGCTGTGTTTCTTTGATGATCGCTGGAACTCCTGCCTGCCAAAGGGTGTAGAAAGTCGTATGTGGTGTCCACTTGGGCCACAGGGCCTGGAGGCCTTGGTGTCCCAACACCTAGAGCCTTTTGTTGTGGTGGCTCAGCCCCCCACCACCTACCTCATAGCTGTCCAGCTGCCCCCCGACTCCATGCTGCTGCTACGACTGGAGAAAGCTCAGGCGGACGGTGTGCCTGTGGCCCTGAGGACTGACAACTGGGCCGTGCTGCCTCTGGCTGGGGACTTCCTCCGGAGCCTTGCAGCCCACTAACGCCAGGCGGGGCAGGACTTGTTGCTCCCGGGGGACTGGGCCAAGGGACTGTCAAAGGAGCATATTCTTGTAGGTCCTACCATAAAACCATACTCACTGACAGCTCTCACTGGCTTGTTTGCTTTTGAACCCTTATTAGGAGCAGATTTACTGGCGTTGACTCTTAAGCCCCTAAAAAGATCCAGACTAGTTCTAGTCCTGCAGACATCATAACTGATCCGATAGTCTGCACAATATGTTTCCTGTGAGGTCTGGCCTAGCCCGGGATCCCTCTGTGACTTTGTGTGAAGGCTGGAGCTTGAAGTTTGGCCTCCTCACTCTGGCCCTCACTCAGCTACATAGCACAATAAACTAGCAGCCTGGACTTGGGAGAGAAGGCTTGGTGACTAGATGGCCCCTTCCTAGGAAGTCCTGGTTGGAGTCCATTGTAGAGAGGGTGTGCCGGCAAGGTTCTGAGCAGATGGAGGGGCCCACATGATTGGTTTTTAAAAAGCCTAGCTTCTAATGGCAGCCCCCAGGAGTCCCGGTCTGTGCTTAGGAACCTTCTCAGATAAAAAGTTTGTTCTCCAGTGTCTTACATAGAGATGCTGAAGCCAATGCTAGTGCCAGGCCCCAGTCAGGTGTTTTCCTCTGTGTCATCCTCGCCGCAGCTCTACAGGTCTCCCCGCAGCTGAGGCCACTTGGCTGGGAGGGAGTACTATCTTGTCATCCCATGACAGGCCACACGGCATAGATCTGTGGGAGTCACAGTCTTCAGCCCTGAAAAGCCCCCAGTAGGATGTGCTGAAGCAGCAGTCAGTGCTGAGTGGAAGAACGACCTCAGCCTGAGTTGTTCAGGGCAAAGAAGTATAGGTAGGGGTTGTGTGTGTGTGTGTGTGTGTGTGTGTGTGTGTATGTGAGAGAAAGAGAGAACGTGAGTGCATGTGTATGTGCACGTGTGTGAGAGAGTGCACATGCGTGTGTGTGAGTGAGAGTTCATGTGTGGGTGTGGGTGTGTGTGAGAGCGTGAGTGCATGTGTGTGTGCACACGTGTGTGTGAGAGTGCACGCATGTGTGTGTGAGTGAATGTATATATGAGAGAGTGCACGCATGTGTGTGAGAGTGCACATGTGTGTGTGTGCATGTGAGAGTTCATGTGTGGGTGCGTGTGAGAGAGTGTATGTGTGTGTGTGTGAGAGACAGAGAGAGAGAGTTGCCTCTGCTCTGATTTCTTAGATGTCAGTCTAGGAGAGGAAAGAAGGCTTGGGCCAGTTTTGGCAAAAGGCCAGGTTCAAGTGCAAGTTGTGGCAGTAATTGTTACTGCTGAGTGACTTTTCATCCCAGATAGGGCATCTACAACTGACCAAAGAAAAATGCCATTCAAGTCTAGCTAATGAGCCAGCGAGTGGATTGGAGTTACTTAAGGGAGTATGGGTGACTCAAAGACAGCTGTATCACCAAAAAAGGCCACCCCAGCTTGGGTGACCGCCAGAAAGCAGCCTGACTGGAGCTTTTACCGGTCTTGCAGACAGTTCCACCTGAGGCTTGGCACAGCAACTGTTGACTGCCTTTCTGGCGTGAGGGATGGCCTCACTAATCCTGTAACTTTCTGAGCTTCCAGATCCTCATATTTCCTGAGTCTCCTGAGCTTGCAGAAATATTTCAATGAGGAAGAAGCAGTTACCTAGTGCTCACCTTGGAAGCGATTGCCAAATCAGGAAGGTGGCCATTCTAGAAACTTCTTCAGCTGGTTTGCGTAGAGAAAGGATATAGGTCAGTTCCTTACACAATTGTTGAGAAAGCTAGAGAAGTATTTTCCACAGAAGCCACCACTAGAGCTATTCTGCTCCAGGACAAACTACCCCGTCTGCAGTCCAACTCCTTTTGGTGATCAGGCATGGGGAGTGGGTGCTGCCACTGCCTCCTCAGACCCACTGAGCCAGAGAGAGAGGCTTGACATCTCCATGTCTAATTCAGAGACCATCTCAGTAGTGCGATGCAGCTCTTGTCATAGTGATGAAGGGACCCGGGAAAGCAGTTCTTTTCATACAAATGCAAGAAGTGCCTTAAACCTGAGCTAAGGATAATAGGTCAGGGGGCTGGGGAGATGACTCAGGAAAATGCACAAACCCGAGGACCTGAGTTAGAGCCCAGAACCCATGGGAAATCAGGTGAGAGCTCATGCTCTCATCTCAGAGCTGGGGGCAGATGAGGCGTCTCCAGCGCCCCCCCCCCAGATAGGGTTTCTCTGTGTAATCCTAGCTGTCTTGGAACTCACTCTGTAGACAAGACTGGCCTCGAACTCACAGAGATCCACCTGCCTCTGCCTTCCGAGTGCTGGGATTAAAGGTGTACACCACTATTGTCTCTGATGGAGCTTTTTAGTAAGCAGTGTAGCTGCTTACTAAGTTTATTGAGAGTCTCTGCTTCCACTGCCCACCTCAGGCCTACTACACGCATGTGCACACACACCCATTCACACAGGCCCACAGACACATGCACACACACATTAGCCCATGTAATGATGAAGCCTCTATCTCATGGCCATCTTCCTACCCATTCCTGGACTTCTGTTTTGTTCACTCTCCTTCAGTGCTGGACACCAGACGAACAACTCCACCCACAAAAACAAGTTCCGTGTTCCGTGTCACAGTTCAGATACCAATAACAAGTCCCAGGTTGTGGCCTGTGATTCTAACCAACAGGCTAGTCGGGGTTTCCATAACCACTTCTCGAGTTTGGTAATTTTTGTTGCTGTTTTGTTGTTTTGTTTTTCCAGGCAGGGTTTCTCTGTGTACCTCTGGAACCTGTCCTGGATCTCTGTAGACCAGGCTAGCCTCAAACTCAACAGGGATTCACCTGCCTTTGTCTTCCAAGTGCTAGGATTAAAGGCCTGTGCCACCAGTGCCTGGCAAAGTTTGGTAACTTCTAAGGGACACTCAACCTTTGCCTGCTTACAATACAAGGTGTCACATTGCCAGGGCCAGTGCCTGTAACCCTAACAGTCCAGAGCCTGAGGCTTCAAGTTCAAAGCCAGCCAGTAGCTCCATAGTGGACTGTCTTAACAAGCAAAAGTATATTACAGGTGACTGGAGAGTTCAGGTACCAGTACCCATGTCCAACAGCTCATAGCCACTTGTGGCTCGACCTCCAGGGTACCAGCACACATGCATTCATCCCTATGTAGAGATACACACACTCACATAATTTTTTTTTGTTTTTTCGAGACAGGGTTTCTCTGTGGCTTTGGAGGCTGTCCTGGAACTCCCTTGGTAGTCCAGGCTGGTCTCGAACTTACAGAGATCCACCTGCCTCTGCCTCCCGAGTGCTGGGATTAAAGGTGTGTGCCACCAACACCCAGTCAAACATGGGTTTTTGTTTTCTCTCTCTTTTGTTTTTATTTTTTTGAGACAGGGTTTCTCTGTGTAGCCTTGGGTGTCTTGGAAATCACTCTAGACCACGCTGGCCTGGAGCTCAGAGATCCAACTGCCTCTGCCTCCTCAGGCTCTGAGATTAAGGATGCATACCACCACTGCCCATTGAATTTCTTTAAATATCAAACCAGTCTGCCACACCTGGAATAGATCCTACTTCATCATGTCATATAATTATTTTTTGTGTGTGCACTATTAGACTCCATTTGCTAACTATGTGTATGTGTTGCTGGGAGTTTGATTGGTTTTTATGAGATATGGTCTGTCCTTGAATCTTTATATATTCTCTTACCTCATCCTCTCAAGTGTTGTAGTTACCAAAAGGCATTTGCAATACACAGTTCAAATCCAATATCTTACACATGCTTGGCTAGGGCTTCATTGCCAAGTTATGGCCATATCTCCTATTTTGCCAAAGTTAGTCATGGGTTTCTACATCTATGTATGTGACATACTGCTATTCTGTGGTGTTTTTAAGTAGTGCCCTTATTTGTTTTTGGTATAAGGTATGACAGATGAGTAGCGAAATGGTTCCCTGGCTTTTAACTTTGGGAAGAGACTTCAGAGAATTGGTGTACTCTATACCCTAAATGTTCTTGTTAAGCTCACAAAAATACTCACCAGGCCAGGTACGTTATGGACTGGAAGACTAGAAATGGCCATTGTGTGCCGGTGTCTCCTACCCCAGTTCATATAGTGAAATGTCCTTTTTCCTGAAAATTTCTTATTCTGAAGAATGAATTATAATATAGTAAATTATACTGTAGAAGTATAAGACAGAATTTTCACAGCCTCATTATATTTCCTGAATACTTAATAAGCTGACTTACAAATCTGCAATTAATTAAAAAGTAATCTTTAGATGGGCATGGTGACACATCCCTTTAATGCTAGCACTCGGGAAGCAGAGAGGCCAAGAGAGAAAGAGCTGTGGAGAGATGCGTATATATCTTGTTACCAAGTGGTGGTAGTGCTCACCTTTAATCCCAGCACTCAGGATGCAGAAACAAACAGATCTCTGTGAGTTTGAGGCTAGCCTGATCTACAGAGTGAGTGCCAGGACAGACTCCAAAGCTACAGAGAAACCCTGTCTTGGAAAAAAAAAACAGTAATGAAAGTCAAAATTTTCATTTAAAAATGAGAAGACTGCCGGGCGGTGGTGGCGCACGCCTTTAATCCCGGCTCTCGGGAGGCAGAGGCAGGCGGATCTCTGTGAGTTCGAGGCCGGGCTGGACCGACAGCCTCCAAAACAATACAGAGAAACCCTGTCTCGTAAAAACCAAAAAAAAAAATGAGAAGACTAATTCTGGAGAACCCAAAAAGACAAAATGAAAATATCAAGAGCAACAAAAGAATTTGGTAGGTACCCCTGGAAGATTAATATATTGATAATCGACAGCTCTACTCAAGAGGAAGGATCTGAAAATTATAACTGTAGGGCCCATCTAGCCCACTACCTGCCTCTACAAATACTGTTTTTCTGTAATACAGCTATGCTCACTCATTCATATATTGTCTGCGACTCTCTTTTTTGTTTCTTTAATATTTTATCTTCATTTACTTTTTTTTTTTGAGACAAGGTCACAATACCTATGCCCAGCTAACCTGGAATTCCGCCTGCCTCTGCCTTCTGAGTGCTGGGATTAAAGGGGCGTGCCACCATGAATTATGTGTATATGTGCACATGAGTGTAGTACCCTCAGAGTCTAGATGAGGGCTCCAGATCCCCCTGGAGTTATGGATAGTTGTGAATAGCCCAGCCTGGGTGCTGAGGACCCAACTCAGGTGCTCCAGTAGAACAGAAGTCATTCTTAACCACAGGCCATCTCTTCTGCCTCAACTGTGGCTGTTTTTATACTGGAACCACAAGGCTGAGGGGTTGTTACAGCAACTTTAGTTCATTAAAACTAAAAGGCTTACCCACACAGAAAAGTGTGTCAATCTTTGGTACAACTAAGGACAAATTAGAAAATACAATAGAAAAACCAAATATAAACTACCAAGAAATAAATATATATCATTATATGTAATATAGAACTTATGAGGGAAACTTGACCACTATACAAATAGACATAAAACAGACATGGGAATACACAGAATAACTTATTCTTTTGTTATTTTGACATAGGGACTCATGTAGCCCAGGCTATCCTCAAACTTACTATACAGCTGAAAAAGACTTTAAATTCTTGTTTCTGTGTGTGTCTTTAAGTATATGCGTGTGAAAGTCACAGAATGACCTTTGAGAATTGATTCTCTTTCTCTTTATTTTTTTATTTTTTTGGTTTTTATGAGACAGGGTTTCTCTGTATTGTTTTGGAGGCTGTAGGTCCAGCCCGGCCTCGAACTCACAGAGACCTGCCTGCCTCTGCTTCCCGAGTGCCGGGATTAAAGGTGTGAGCCATCACCGCCCGGCCTCTCTTTCTCTTTTTAAGATTTATTTCTTCTGTACACAGTGTTCTGTCTGCCTGTATGCCTGCACTTCAGGCCAGAAGAGGGCACCGGAACACACCACAGATTTTGTGAGCACTCTGTGGTTTCTGGGAACTGAGCTCAGGACTCTGGAAGACCAGCCAAAGTGCTCAACCTCTAAGCCATCTCCAGCCCCTCCCCAACCATCGTTTTAAATGTTTTTGCTCTTTTTACTTTTTGGCCTTTTGGGGCCAAATAAATAACACACAGAATTTATTAGTTGTGAATGTCTGGCCTTAGCTCGACTTGTTTTTAGCCAGCTTTTCTTTAACTTAAATTATTGCATATACCATTGCCTCTGGTTTTTTCTGTTCTCTTACTTCTGTAAATCTTACTCTTCTTACTCCATGGATTGCTGTGTAATGGATGGCTGGGCCCTGATGTCCTCCTCTCCTTGTTCTCTTCTTGCTCTCCTCACTCATCATTTTTGTGTTTTTGTTTGTTTTCCCTTCTATTTAATCTCTCTGCCTGCCAGCCCCACCTGTCCTTGCTCCTGCCTCGATACTGGCCATTCAGTTCTTTATTAGGACCACCAGGTGTTTTAAACAGGCCCAGTAACACAGCTTCAGGAGTTAAACAAATGCAGCATAAACAAAAGTCACACATCTTAAAATAATATTCGACTCCCACGCCATTCTCTTTTCTACCAGTGAGTCCTGGAAATTGAACTCAGTTTGCTAGGATGACAAGGTACCTTTGCCAGTACAGCCATCTGAATTGCCCCAACCTTCAACTCTTGATCCTCCTGCCTCCCCCCCTCTTAGTGCTGGTATTACAGACTTACGGGCCACATCCTACCTATTTTATTTTTAAACAAAAACTAAAGCAAGACTTTCTGTAAATTAACCAGCTGCGGCGCCAGCGCCACAACCAAATCCAGGGTATCAGGAAAAGAGAGACCAGACGTCCACTTGTTTGTACTAAGAGAATGCATGTGTTGCCTTTATTGCCAGGAGAATGTGTTTGTGTGTGTCTTCATTGCAAGTGATAAGAGGTCTCTCCCATGTAGGAGGGAGGAGCTTTATATACAGGTTTACAGCATAGTGGAGAAACCCCAGGTAGAAGAGAGCATGTTTCCCTCCTGCTAGATGTTGATGTCAGAGGGTCAAGGCCAGGGCAGTAAGCCAGGACTAGAAAACAGAAAGCACTTGGACTGGAAAACAAGTTACACTTATAGACTGACCAGCAACTCACAGAGACCCCATGGGGTTGGGGCCCAACAACTAGCCACCTCTGAGCCTTCTCTCAGGGCCTTTGATAAAATGTCTCAACCAATCTTAACTAGGCAGAGAGACTAGATTTGAGGTGAAATTTTTAATTAGTAAAGATACAGCGATCACTACACTAAAAAGAGAAGGATGTTTAATTTTGTAATTTGAACAGTACTCATATTTTGCCAGTGATCTTGAATGACTGTGATATGGTTCCATTTGTGTTTTGCTCTCGCAAAACCAGAAAGTGACCTTATTCAGGGTTACTATTTGGTGAATATGTTTTCAACTGAACAGCAGCACCATTAGTGAAAAATTACAAATGTAATAAAACAAACTCATTATGATTTGAAGGAGAAGAGCCAAGAAAATGAAAATTACTAGGAACAACAAATGTTATTCTTGGGCTGGAAAGATGGCTCAGAGGTTAAGAGCACTGACTGCTCTTCCAGAGGTCCTGAGTTCAATTCCCAGCAACCACATGGTGGCTCACAACCATCCGTAATGAGATCTGGTGCCCTCTCCTGGCTTGCAGACATACATAGAAGCAGGATGTTGTATTCATAATAAATAAATAAATAAATAAATGTTATTCTTCAGGTATCTAGGTAAGCAATTAAATTTAAATATTAATATCTGTATAGAATATTTGGCTCTCTGGCAATGCTATAAATAAACTTCATACTTATATAATAAATTATATAACACATCTATGAGTTAATGCAATTTGACCAACATTTATAGTTTTATATTTATTTGTTTTATGGAAGAACTTGAAAACATGTATCACTGCTGGGTATCTGAACCAATAAGCATTAGAAAGAGCTGAACAGCCAGGTAGTTGTAGTGTACACCTTTTTGTTTTGTTTTGTTTCGGGACACGGTTTCTCTGTAGCCTTGAAGCCTGTCCTGGAACTCACAGATACCTGCCTGCCTCTGCCTCCTGAGTTCTGGGATTAAAGGTGTGCCACCACCGCCAGGCTGATCTGTAGCGCACACCTTTACTTATAGCACTTGGGACCCAGGACCTGCATGGTGTAGAGAGAAGCAAGTCTACAAGTCGTCCTCTGGTAGCCATTGTGCTCCATGGCACACTCCTCTCCCAAATAAGTGATTTAAATTTCGAAAGAAAATGTGACTGAGGGGATTCTAGTCAGCTCCATCACGGCAAGCATGGCTCTGGCAGGCTTTGCCCTTCCTCCATTCCCTCTGCCTTGCTAAAAACCATTAATTACATCCCTAAAGCTAGTCACCATGGTCTATTCTCTTATTTGGATACTTCCTCCTTCTAAGGCTGACTACCAAGGCCCAGTTAGCAAAGTATTGAAGCCCAGCAGTCAGAAGCACCTTTTGGCTACCCTCATTAACATGCCCAATTAAACTTAAACACCTCATCCTAACACAGGGTTTTCCCCTTGTACCTTTATAAACTGCCAGTTGCCTATGAGGCACACCCATCTCCTCTCTATCCAGAGGCAGTCCTTTGTCCCTCCTGGACAAAAACCCTCCTTCCCTCCCTTACTCCCTTCCCCTTCTCCCTCATCCTCTGTCTCCTGTCTTATTCCCTGCCCTCTGTCCCTCTGGGGCAAATAAATCTCCTTTGTGCTGAGAACTTGGTCTTGGGGGTCTTGAGCCAATAACAATCTCTTACAGAGACTATAAAAGTTCTCTTTGCTGGGCAGCCTTAGCATGCTCCTTTAATTTCAGCACTTGGGCAGCAGAGGCAGGTGAATCTCTAGGTTCAAGGCCAGCTTACTCTGCCTAGTGAGTTCCAGGACAGTGAAACCCTGTCTCAAAAAACAAAAAAAAAAGGTTTGTTTTGTTTTGTTTTTTGGTTTTTCGAGACAGGCTTTCTCTGTGGCTTTGGAGGCTGTCCTAGAACTAGCTCTTGTAGACCAGGCTGGTCTCGAACTCACAGGGATCTGTCTGCCTCTGCCTCCCAAGTGCTGGGATTAAAGGCATGCACCACCACTGCCCAGCAAAAAGTTTTCTTTACAGCAAGAATTAGTATACATATAGAAAACTCTGCAAGACAAGGCACACAAGAAAAAAATGCATTTGAGAAATGGATTGACATCCCTTATCTTAAAAACAAATAACCTGGACTGGAGTCTAAAAGCAGTTTGTTTGTTTGTTTGTTTTACCAATGGAAGGGTATCTATTGGGGAGAAACACAGAATGGCAGCTACTTCTGAACAGGAAGAGAGACAGCAGAGGGTTCGGAGGAGGGGAGGGCTTTTATAGGCTTTTTGGAGCATATTCAGTGAGCTAGTAGTGCAGGCGGAAGTATTGCTTGGCTGCCAACTTTGAAACATTGCCTGGCCTCTGAGTCACGGTGGATTTTCAAGTCTTGAGGCTAGGAGACAGGGCAGAAGCAAGGTGTTCTTTCCTTGGCCCTGGTCTCGAGCTTGGGGATCAAGTCAGGGGTAGGGTATTCTTTCTGTGGCCCCTTTTTCCTACATAGTTGTGACTCTAGAGCATTCGTTTAGGATGTCCAAGGCTCTGAGTTCAATCTTCATCACCATCAAAAGTCAGTAATTTACCAAACAACCTAATAAATAGGACCCTTCTAGGAATCCGTTTAGGGTGTTTTTTATTTGTTTGTTTTTGTTTTGGGGGGATTTGTTTGTTTGTTTTTTCGAAACAGTGTTTCTCTGTATTGTTTTGGAGGCTGTCCTGGAACTTGCTCTGTAGGCCAGGCTGGTCTCGAACTCACAGAGATCCGCCTGCCTCTGCCTCCCGAGTGCTGGGATTAAAGGCGTGCGCCACCTACGCCCGGCCCGTTTACTTTTTATACAACCAGAAGAGCCATAAAAATGTTAGGGCTGGGCATCGTGGCACAAGCCAGTAAACCCCAGCACCAGGGAAGTGGAGGCACACGGATGAGATCACAGGAAGGTAGGCGTGTCCTTGCAGAAGGCGGACCCCTGGAGAAAGGACTACGATTCCCATAAGGCTCTGCACCGAGCGTGCTCGGCCTCCCGACCGGCCCCGCGCGCTTCACCCGCCAGGTTTTGCCTGAGCCCGCCAGCGTCCGGGATGGAGAGCGCAGATGAAGCGGCAGACTGTAAACAGCGTGTCCACTTGCGCCCAGGCTCGCTGCGTGATGCCGCACCGGCTACGCTGCACCTCCTGCCCTGCGAGGTTCTGGTGAGCCGGCCAGCTCCGGTGGAACGCTTTTTCACTCCCGCGGTGCGCCACGGTGCAGACGGTGAGTCCCGGCAGGCCCCGCGGAGGTCGCAGAGCTCACGGGCTCGATGGTCCACGGGAGAAGTAGCCGGCACATTGCCCTGGGACCACGCCTGCCTGATGGGCTTTGCGTGTACCTCCCGCAGGACTGCAGGTATCGTTTCGGGGTCGCGGCCTGCGGGGCGAGGAGGTGGCTGTGCCGCCAGGTTTTTCGGGATTCGTGATGGTGACGGAGGAGATGGGAGAGGGGCTGATAGGGAAGCTGAACTTCTCGGGGGACGCGGAAGACAAAACGGAAAAGATGCAGGAACCGCTGGAGCGCGATTTCGTGAGCAGAGGGAGAGGGTAGGCTCGGGGTGAGGGTAGTAGCTGCCGCCCCGATTCTGAACCCGGCCTTTCCTAGGACCGCTTTATCGGAGCCACCGGCAGCTTTAGCCACTTCACCCTGTGGGGTCTGGAAACGGTCCCTGGCCCGGATGCCAAAGTGCACAAGGCCCTAGGTTGGCCCAGCCTCGCTGCAGCGGTGAGTACATACATGGGTCCCTTCCCCCTTAGAGTCGGTCTGACCTCCCACCCGGTTTGAATCGTTCCTAGTGATTTGGGGTTTTTAGGGCAGTAAGCACCATGGATGGGGACTATGACGCTGGAGGACCAGACTCAAGAGTGGTGTGAGGCACTCTCCACCTCTATCATCTGGCCTTCTTAGAAGGGGCTATCACTCTAAGCAGCTGGGTATTAGACGTTACATAGTGAAGTGACTCCTGTTGCAGATTCACGCACAGGTGCCTGAGGACTGAGAGCCACAACATGAAAATGAAAGTCACAGATCTCTTCACACCAGTATGCCAGCAATGAGTTCACTGTTTCTATCCCAATAAATGAGCTCTTCACAACACCTGTGAGTCTGTGGGCACCTTAGCACCCTGAAGCTGGCATGGCATGACATCCAGTCTGGCAAGAACTTTTGATATCTCTGCCTATATAAACAATTTATTGCTGGGGGCAAGAGGGGCCAGAATTTTGCAGCCAGCACCCACCCCACCCTCCAGCTTCTCCTTTACAAAAGAAATGTTTACAATCACCAGTCCTCTGTACAGAATTCGCCCACCCATCTCGATGTACACAGCTGCCTGGATCCCTCTGGTCCCTGTGTTCAGAACAGACCTGGGCCTATGATAAGCCATCTATCCTTGGAGTTGGCCTATCCCTGAGCTTGCCTTGGTACTGGCCAGTAGTTGGCCCCTCCTAGGCCTCTCCTTTTGGAGCAGTCCTCAGCCCTGTCTCCCTTGGTGTGCCTCGTGGAAGGGACAGGATAACCTGTCAGCCCAGTTGCGCCAGCTCTCTCTGTGTTGCAATGGGCAGTGCCTGGTCACCACTTTCCTCTCTTGCTCCAGTCTTTGGGGGTGAAGTGCAGACACTTGGAGTCAATTCGAAGGAGCCGTTTGAGCATGGCCCGTTCATGTCCATCCACGATGTCCTCCGACAGAGTGAGGATATACTGGCCCTAGACAAGAGACAGGCCCAGCATGTGGTCAGCTCATGGTCTGCCACCTGCACCCCACTTGCCTACCCCCAGTGCCTCCTAACCTTGTAGTAATTGATGAGATTGAGATACTGCAGTGTGGAGATGACGTCTTCTTTCTTGATACTGGTGATTTCACTAATCTCACTGTGGGAGGGCAAAGTTAGGTCCTCTGAGGGTAGTCGTCTGTCCCCAGGAGCCCCAGGAGCAGACAGGCCATACCATGCACCCCCAGGTGGGCATTGTGGCTCACTTGATGGTAATCTGTGGCCTCTCCCCGCTCTCCGACTTCAGTCCCATCAGGATCTCCAGGATGGTCTGGGACCAATAACTTCGATAGGATAGGAGGCCAAGATCTGACAGGGGCTTCTCAGGAGTCCCTGTCTTCCCTTCTACTTTAGAGAGTTCATAGCCTAAAGCAGTGGAGCACAAGAGTCTGAGTAAGCATCACAGGTGTATATATACACAGGTATGTATACAATAAGTAACAGCAGATACTACAGAGTGAGGCTGCCTGGTTTTCTGTCTCTCACTTACTCACTTCAGCTAGGGGAGCTGAAGACACCTAGAAGAGCAGCTTGGCAGCCAGGAAAAGCTAATGAAATGGAAGTGCTAGATTTTCCTTTGCCATCCCAGGCTGAGTCTGGGGACATTGGGAGGGTGGTGAGGGAGTCCATTGTCATTCCCTAACTGATCCTGGGAGTTCCGGCTGCTCTTATTCCAGGATGGGCTGGGTGGTTGAGGATGTAACAGAAAAGTACAGAAGTGTTTCTTCAGAGCCAGGGAATTGACCTGGCTGCAATGGCCCTTTCCCTCTTAATGTGTTGACACTAGGCACTGCCAGGCTGTTGTTCATGATGAGACCTTTAGGTCCTATAGACAGGGCCCTGGGGATGTCCCTATTAGTTTGGAAAAACCCTTCCTTACTCTCAGCTATACAGGCTTCATATTGGTCCCTGGCTATATCTCTGTTGGCTAGTTTCACCCTCTTTGCTCAATTCCCCCTGACAAGATGGGCCAGAGAGGCTAGTGTCTGGAGAGGAAGCCAGAAAGGAAAGAGATCCAACTCTGCTGGATCTACTTGTGTACAGTCCCATGAATCTGCTGGATGTCATACTTGTCTCTATAGTTCTGAATCCCTGACCTTTTCAGTGAATGCCTCTCTGCCCTTTTATCTGTCTAATGCATTTCTGTGCCATGCTGGAGAGAAGTAAGCGTTATCTTAGGGATCTGTCTCTGAGTTTCCTTTCACCTCTCCCAGGCTGAGCTTTTCAACTTGGAACCACTCAACTAATAAAATATTCCAAACAGTTCAGACTTTGAACAAGTAAAGCATCTGTGTTTCACTGGCAAAAAAGCTAAAGCTTCTTCCTTGACTCCCTATGTTAGAGAATACTTAAGTGAGTGGAATGGGGGTGGATGAGCTAACACTAGAAAACTGAATGTGGTTGCAGAGTTAGGAGCCCTCGTGAAGCCAGGCAGTGGTGGCGACACCTTTAATCCCAGCACTCAGGAGGCAGAGGCAGGCGGATCTCTGTGAGTTCCAAGCCAGCCTGATCTACAAAGCTACACAGAGAGACCCTGTCTTGAAAAATACAAAAAAAAAAAAAGGAGCCTATGTAAGAAGAAGTCAAAGCCCTCCTGAGCATTAAGAGACTAGCCTGACAAAGGAATGGGTACAAGTTCATCTTTCAGTGGGTTAAACAGCCTTTTTGACATCTACTGCCTGGAAGGCTCAGGTAATAAATACCTGGTGACATAACCCAGAACCTGTTATGGTGCACACCCAGAGATGAACATGAGAAGCTGAGCTGCTCAGAGCTCCAGACAGGAACAGATGATTCCAAATTGGGAAAAGTTGGGTGACACTTAAACCTTTAGCCACAAAGAAATGGATGCTGAGCACCTACTTCAGGAAATAGGGCAGTTGCTTGAGGAAAGAACCTTGGGAGACTGCCCCCTTATTCCTGGTATCTCTCCTGGTAACTGGCATGTCTGCATGTGAAGCACACACGTAAGGCACACTCATACTGGCTTAGACCTATCAGCCTCCCAGACTCCTGGGCAGGCAGCACATACTCACTGAACTCAATCAGCAGCTTGCCATAGCCTCGGCGCTGATAGGGAGGCAGAGTCAGGATGCAGGCCACATTGTAATCTTCAGTAGACTCTTTTTCCTGGAATCAGAGTAGGTGAGTTTTAACTTAGACCTGATTCAGGGCAGGACTGAGGGACAGCCTGGGTGAATGCTGACCTTGGAGAAGTAGCCCACAATGTGGAAGCCCTTGCAGTCGTACTCTGTCATGACATAGAAGAGGAAGGGGTCTGTGTCATAGTACAATGTCTTGTGGTCCAGGAAGCACTTGGCCAGCAGACACAGGTTTTGTGAGTAACTCTGTAAAGAAACGGCCTGTCAGTCAGTACTCTAGGGGCACTACTTTAAAGAGCTAAACTGTATTATGGCACATGTGACTGCAGGTGTGCATGTACTACAACATGCATGTATTCTCTCCTTCCACTATGGGTTCCCAGGCTTGTGTGGCGGGACTTGTACTCACTGAGCCATCCAAAGGGCTCTGAGGAGCACTTCTTTTTGCTTCTTCACTTGACAGATGATGGGCTTCCCTCCTAGGACCCCAACCCACCAGTCAGGCTATCACCACTGGTTAGGTAGAGGCCACTTTTCTTTTCTTTCCCGAGACAGGGTTCTCTGTGAAGCCATGGCTGTGTGGAACTTGCTCTGTAGACCAGGCCGGCCTCAAATTCAGAGATTAGCCTACCTCTGGGATTAAGTATATCACAACCACTCGACTAAGGGCCACTTCTTAGGTGTCCAGGAACATGTGTACTAGTGCCTACCTGCCTGCCCCCATGGTGGCTACAGTTTCCCATATACCCAGCAAACCCTGCTCTGGGCCTGCATTGCCCTCTGTTCTGCTTCAACAGTAGCCAAGAACATTTCCAAGCCAGGCATGGTAGTGTTTTCTTATAATCTCAGTACTTAGGAGGCAGAGGCAGGTTATAAGTTTGAGGTCAGTCAGCTAGGGCTACATAGTGAGACCGTTTTCTTTTTCTTTTTCTTTTTTTTTAACGAGACAGGGTTTCTCTGTATTGTTTTGGAGGCTGTCGGTCCAGCCCGGCCTCGAACTCACAGAGATCCAGACCTTTTTATTTTTCAAAACAGGGTTTCTCTGTGTAGCCCTGGCTGTCCTAGAGCTCACTGTGTACACCACGCTGGCCTCAAACAGGCAGAGGTTTTTCTGCCTCTGCCCCCCCCCCCCCAGATTAAAGGCTAAAGGTGTGTGCCAACACTGCCTGCCCCCTCCCATTTTAATTTTCCCCATGGAGTTAGCCTCAAATTCAGTCCCAGAAGTTTGGCTCATTGTGGCTATCCTTGAGTGCCAAAACCCCAATGCTCTAGCCACAGTGATGCCTCTTGGGAACTGGTCTGCTATTCTCCAGTGGAGGTTTAAGAAAATGCCAGCCTTAGTGGTTCTTCCTGCTAAACTTTGGGCTTACTACAGAGCAGTGTGGCTGAACAGTGGTGGTAAACACCTTTAATCCCAGCACTCGAGGTGGAGGCTGTATCTCTTTGAGTTTGAGGACAGCCTGAACTACATAGGATGGCCAGGGATTCACAGGGAAACCTTGTCTTCAGGGAGAAAAAAATACAGAGCTCCCGCCGCCCCCCAATCCAGGCACTTGCCTCTTTCCCCACATCGCCCAAGAAAGGTGTGCATCTCAAGGAGCTCTACACTTCTCACCTAAAAGACCCTAAATGTGCTCCTTAACTGATCTTGTTTCTGCCACCTGACCTCTGACCTTCAAAAGTCTTGCCTCATCTCCTCTCACTTTCTTTTTACTTTTCACATGTACATCAGTGCCTGCATCTCTGAACCCAACTGCTTACAACTGCCTTAAACATGTCTCCTTCATGTCCAGGCTCACAGGTCACTCAACCTGGAAAATAGGATTTGACTGTATACCCCTGGCTGGCCCAGAACTCCATACAGACTAGTAGATATCCACCTGCCTCTGCTTCCTGAGTGCCACCATACCCATCCAAGACCCTTTCTGTTTGTTTTTTGAGAAAGCTATCCTTGAATTTCAAATACACTGGCTTCAGCCTCCTAGATGCTGGGATTACCACACTGGGCTAAACTGTTCTTTAAGCTGCCTTTAATTTTACATTTGACCTTTGCCACTGTAAGTTTTTGTTGTTCTTTGTTTTGTTTTGGATTCCTCTAAAGAAGTTCTTTTTATAGCTTAGGTTGGCATGGAACTCCCTATAGCCCAGGTTAACCTTGAACTTAGGAGCTTTCTGAGTGCTAAGTAAGATTACAGGCATTTACTTAAAAGTTCTGATGATAGTT